ATATGAAGATATAAGTAGTCATATTAGGGTATTCAATAAGTCTTAATATATCTATTGCAAACTCTCTTTACGATAGTCATGTGTTCAAGATCATTAACTCACTTAACAATTAACTTTGGTTTTAATTATGTATGAAGACACAATCGGGTTTATATTATGTATGAAAACTAAAGTTGGTCACCGAAACCTTTTTGGCCAAATCTGAAAGTTTCGGGTTTCGGATTATAGTTTTCAAAACCTCATCTGAAACCCTGAAACCTTATCCGAAACCCAAAACTCTACCCGAAATCCCAAAACTCTATTTGCATAATAAGTTTTGATAAAATCAACGAAAAAGTATAAAAATCAGAATGAATTATCAAGACAATGCAATTGCATTAGAAAATCTTGTAGGTTTAATTTTTAATATGCTCTAAAATATTATAACTCTGATTATTTATTTGAATTTAGAACGTTATACTTATAGTTATATCAAATCTGCAGAATAATTACTTAGTTAATTTTTGTAATTAGTAGATCCAAATGTAAGATTCACAAATCTGGTTTATATTATTAATAAATCTGGATCTTATTAAACTTAAATTTAATATTTAAGTTCAGATCTAACAATCAAATCCAGATTTAATGATTAAATTTGAATATTTTAATCTGATAATAAGATATTTTTATAATCGACAATCATTATCATATATTAAAGTCAAAATTTTATTATGCAAATCGATCTTTTGTTTTTAAGTAAAAATGTTTGCAAGAACAAAATACTATTACTCTAAAAATTTTATTTAAATTGGTTAATTTTTTACTAATACAGTTTTATATTTTACGTTAAACAAAAAATTTAAAAAGTTTTTAAAAATGATATTCATTGATCATAAACTAGAAAAATGTATTAATAAAAAATTATTCGATTTAAATAAAACTTTTATAGTATATAGTTTTTGATCTCTAGAATATTTTTACTTATTAACTAAAGATTGATTTACTTAATAAAATTTTGATTTTTATATATAGTAATGATTGTTGATTAATTAAATTAATGATATATAAAAATAGTTTATTTGTATCTTATTTATTTAAATAAATTTATAAATAATCTTTATAGACGTTTTTTGTAATTTTTAAATATTGTTCTTTTATTATTAAATATGTCAGAATCTAAAAAAACTACATATCTTAGTGAAAAACATATTGGTGGTCGTCCATTAAAACCTATTTAGAATTTTTTTAATAGAGGAAAACTATTAGATAATTCTGGTCATTATGAAGCAATTTGTAAAACATGTAATCGATTATTTTCATCTGGAAAACCTTCACAAATGGAAAAACATATTATTAGTAAATATTCAAATGTTTCTGAAACAATAAAAGAAGCAGTTATATATATTGTTGAGTCTCATAATAAATCTTCTGGAACTAAATTTTTAAATGAACAATTAAGTTTAAATAAATATCTTGAAAATACAACTATACCAGATAAACATATTGAATCAATAAATAGAGCACTTATTAAAGTATTTGTATGTTGTAGATTACCTTGAAGACTTATAGAACATCTATTTTTTGTTGAATTTTTAAAACAACTTCGATCTGCTTATACTCCACCTAACAGAAAAACTGTTGCAAATACTTTATTAACAAAAGAAATAATAAGAATTGATACTTGTTTATATAAATTATTAAAAGAAAAGAAAAATTTAACATTAGGTATTTAATTTTATTAAATATTTTTAAAATTTTATAAATTTATTTAATTTATATTAACAAATAAGAATATTTAAATTTATATATTTTAGCTTTAGATGGATAGACAAGTTCAACAGGAAAATCTTTATGGAATTTTGTTATTTATTTAGATGATGGTAAAGATATTCTTTGGAAAATTCAAGATTATTCAAATACAAGTCATA